TTCAACAAGCTGTTTTTCATTGTAATAGTTTCAGTGTTCTGTAACTGTGTAGGTGTGGAGAACAAGGTGTTCAGTGTAATAGATTCATTAACTGTGTAGGTGTGGAGAACAAGGTGTTCAGTAATAGATTCAGTGGTCTGTAACATTAACTGTGTAGGTGTGGAGAACAAGGTGTTCAGTGTAATAGATTCAGTGGTCTGTAACTGTGTAGGTGTGGAGAACAAGGTGTTCAGTGTAATAGATTCAGTGGTCTGTAACATTAACTGTGTAGTTGTGGAGAACAAGGTGTTCAGTGTAATAGATTCAGTGGTCTGTAACTGTGTAGGTGTGGAGAACAAGGTGTTCAGTGTAATAGATTCAGTGGTCTGTAACTGTGTAGGTGTGGAGAACAAGGTGTTCAGTGTAATAGATTCAGTGGTCTGTAACTGTGTAGGTGTGGAGAACAAGGTGTTCAGTGTAATAGATTCAGTGGTCTGTAACTGTGTAGGTGTGGAGAACAAGGTGTTCAGTGTAATAGATTCAGTGGTCTGTAACTGTGTAGGTGTGGAGAACAAGGTGTTCAGTGTAATAGATTCAGTGGTCTGTAACTGTGTATGTGTGGAGAACAAGGTGTTCAGTGTAATAGATTCAGTGGTCTGTAACATTAACTGTGTAGTGTGTGGAGTGAACAAGGTGTTCAGTGTAATAGATTCAGTGGTCTGTAACTGTGTAGGTGTGGAGAACAAGGTGTTCAGTGTAATAGATTCAGTGGTCTGTAACATTAACTGTGTAGGTGTGGAGAACAAGGTGTTCAGTGTAATAGATTCAGTGGTCTGTAACTGTGTAGGTGTGGAGAACAAGGTGTTCAGTGTAATAGATTCAGTGGTCTGTAACATTAACTGTGTAGGTGTGGAGAACAAGGTGTTCAGTGTAATAGATTCAGTGGTCTGTAACATTAACTGTGTAGGTGTGGAGAACAAGGTGTTCAGTGTAATAGATTCAGTGGTCTGTAACTGTGTAGGTGTGGAGAACAAGGTGTTCAGTGTAATAGATTCAGTGGTCTGTAACTGTGTAGGTGTGGAGAACAAGGTGTTCAGTGTAATAGATTCAGTGGTCTGTAACATTAACTGTGTAGGTGTGGAGAACAAGGTGTTCAGTGTAATAGATTCAGTGGTCTGTAACTGTGTAGGTGTGGAGAACAAGGTGTTCAGTGTGTAGTGGTGTGGAGAACAAGGTGTTCAGTGTAATAGATTCAGTGGTCTGTAACATTAACTGTGTATGTGTGGAGAACAAGGTGTTCAGTGTAATAGATTCAGTGGTCTGTAACTGTGTAGGTGTGGAGAACAAGGTGTTCAGTGTAATAGATTCAGTGGTCTGTAACATTAACTGTGTAGGTGTGGAGAACAAGGTGTTCAGTGTAATAGATTCAGTGGTCTGTAACTGTGTAGGTGTGGAGAACAAGGTGTTCAGTGTAATAGATTCAGTGGTCTGTAACTGTGTAGGTGTGGAGAACAAGGTGTTCAGTGTAATAGATTCAGTGGTCTGTAACTGTGTATGTGTGGAGAACAAGGTGTTCAGTGTAATAGATTCAGTGGTCTGTAACATTAACTGTGTAGGTGTGGAGAACAAGGTGTTCAGTGTAATAGATTCAGTGGTCTGTAACTGTGTACTGTGTAGGTGTGGAGAACAACTGTGTGTTCAAGGTGTTCAGTGTAATAGATTCAGTGGAGAACAAGGTGTTCAGTGTAATAGATTCAGTGGTCTGTAACTGTGTAGGTGTGGAGAACAAGGTGTTCAGTGTAATAGATTCAGTGGTCTGTAACATTAACTGTGTAGGTGTGGAGAACAAGGTGTTCAGTGTAATAGATTCAGTGGTCTGTAACTGTGTAGGTGTGGAGAACAAGGTGTTCAGTGTAGTTCATAGAACAAGGTGTTCAGTGTAATAGATTGGTCTGTAACTGTGTAGGTGTGGAGAACAAGGTGTTCAGTGTAATAGATTCAGTGGTCTGTAACATTAACTGTGTAGGTGTGGAGAACAAGGTGTTCAGTGTAATAGATTCAGTGGTCTGTAACTGTGTAGGTGTGGAGAACAAGGTGTTCAGTGTAATAGATTCAGTGGTCTGTAACATTAACTGTGTAGGTGTGGAGAACAAGGTGTTCAGTGTAATAGATTCAGTGGTCTGTAACATTAACTGTGTAGGTGTGGAGAACAAGGTGTTCAGTGTAATAGATTCAGTGGTCTGTAACTGTGTAGGTGTGGAGAACAAGGTGTTCAGTGTAATAGATTCAGTGGTCTGTAACTGTGTAGGTGTGGAGAACAAGGTGTTCAGTGTAATAGATTCAGTGGTCTGTAACATTAACTGTGTAGGTGTGGAGAACAAGGTGTTCAGTGTAATAGATTCAGTGGTAACTGTGTAGGTGTAACTGTGTAGGTGTGGAGAACAAGGTGTTCAGTGTAATAGATTCAGTGGTCTGTAACTGTGTAGGTGTGGAGAACAAGGTGTTCAGTGTAATAGATTCAGTGGTCTGTAACTGTGTAGGTGTGGAGAACAAGGTGTTCAGTGTAATAGATTCAGTGGTCTGTAACTGTGTAGGTGTGGAGAACAAGGTGTTCAGTGTAATAGATTCAGTGGTCTGTAACATTAACTGTGTATGTGTGGAGAACAAGGTGTTCAGTGTAATAGATTCAGTGGTCTGATTAACTGTGTAGGTGTGGAGAACAAGGTGTTCAGTGTAATAGATTCAGTGGTCTGTAACTGTGTAGGTGTGGAGAACAAGGTGTTCAGTGTAATAGATTCAGTGGTCTGTAACATTAACTGTGTAGGTGTGGAGAACAAGGTGTTCAGTGTAATAGATTCAGTGGTCTGTAACTGTGTAGGTGTGGAGAACAAGGTGTTCAGTGTAATAGATTCAGTGGTCTGTAACTGTGTAGGTGTGGAGAACAAGGTGTTCAGTGTAATAGATTCAGTGGTCTGTAACATTAACTGTGTAGGTGTGGAGAACAAGGTGTTCAGTGTAATAGATTCAGTGGTCTGTAACATTAACTGTGTAGGTGTGGAGAACAAGGTGTTCAGTGTAATAGATTCAGTGGTCTGTAACTGTGTAGGTGTGGAGAACAAGGTGTTCAGTGTAATAGATTCAGTGGTCTGTAACATTAACTGTGTAGGTGTGGAGAACAAGGTGTTCAGTGTAATAGATTCAGTGGTCTGTAACATTAACTGTGTAGGTGTGGAGAACAAGGTGTTCAGTGTAATAGATTCAGTGGTCTGTAACTGTGTAGGTGTGGAGAACAAGGTGTTCAGTGTAATAGATTCAGTGGTCTGTAACTGTGTAGGTGTGGAGAACAAGGTGTTCAGTGTAATAGATTCAGTGGTCTGTAACTGTGTAGGTGTGGAGAACAAGGTGTTCAGTGTAATAGATTCAGTGGTCTGTAACTGTGTAGGTGTGGAGAACAAGGTGTTCAGTGTAATAGATTCAGTGGTCTGTAACTGTGTATGTGTGGAGAACAAGGTGTTCAGTGTAATAGATTCAGTGGTCTGTAACTGTGTAGGTGTGGAGAACAAGGTGTTCAGTGTAATAGATTCAGTGGTCTGTAACATTAACTGTGTAGGTGTGGAGAACAAGGTGTTCAGTGTAATAGATTCAGTGGTCTGTAACTGTGTAGGTGTGGAGAACAAGGTGTTCAGTGTAATAGATTCAGTGGTCTGTAACATTAACTGTGTATGTGTGGAGAACAAGGTGTTCAGTGTAATAGATTCAGTGGTCTGTAACATTAACTGTGTAGGTGTGGAGAACAAGGTGTTCAGTGTAATAGATTCAGTGGTCTGTAACTGTGTAGGTGTGGAGAACAAGGTGTTCAGTGTAATAGATTCAGTGGTCTGTAACATTAACTGTGTATGTGTGGAGAACAAGGTGTTCAGTGTAATAGATTCAGTGGTCTGTAACATTAACTGTGTAGGTGTGGAGAACAAGGTGTTCAGTGTAATAGATTCAGTGGTCTGTAACATTAACTGTGTAGGTGTGGAGAACAAGGTGTTCAGTGTAATAGATTCAGTGGTCTGTAACTGTGTAGGTGTGGAGAACAAGGTGTTCAGTGTAATAGATTCAGTGGTCTGTAACTGTGTAGGTGTGGAGAACAAGGTGTTCAGTGTAATAGATTCAGTGGTCTGTAACTGTGTAGGTGTGGAGAACAAGGTGTTCAGTGTAATAGATTCAGTGGTCTGTAACTGTATTAACTGTGTATGTGTGGAGTAATAGACAGTGGTCTGTAACATTAACTGTGTATGTGTGGAGAACAAGGTGTTCAGTGTAATAGATTCAGTGGTCTGTAACTGTGTAGGTGTGGAGAACAAGGTGTTCAGTGTAATAGATTCAGTGGTCTGTAACTGTGTAGGTGTGGAGAACAAGGTATTCAGTGTAATAGATTCAGTGGTCTGTAGCATCAACTGTGTAGGTGTTGAGAAGAAGGTGTTCAGTGTAAAAGATTCAGAGTATAAAGACATGATGCAGACATGTTTGTACACTCAACTAGATTCTGAGAGCTAAATATGAACGAATATGAAGATGAAATATTTGACCCGTGACCTTAATCTGTATTTACAGACTTTCTTAATGTGAATGTAAGAAACTACAATATTCAATGCGACAGCTGAAATTAGAAGTTCAAACTTTGACCTTTTGTAATGATATTCCTTTGGGAGATGAGATGCAGAAAATAAAACTTTGACCTCTGTCTACTGACATTCCTTCAGCTACTAAAATTGAAATGTTGACCTTCACCCTATGTTCACAGATGTTCTTAGTGTAACTGAGATACAGGAGTTTAAAGTTTAAAACATTTACTGCAAAATGCATGAAACAATATTTTCGGATATGATAACCTATGTTTGTTGAAGAAATTTTACAGCTTGGTTTGTATGAATAGCATTCGTGGTGAAAATTGCTTGGCTTAAAGCTTGCAGACATTGATTTCAATGTGAATATAATTAACTTGAAAGGCACATTGGTTTGAGAAATGTTACCTCAGTAACACACAGCTGGACAGATGAGGAAGAGGGTGGAGGCAACATGTACTTTTGGATGTCCTGGGGCTGATTGGACACAGTGATCCTGAAAAAGATAAACAAAAATGTTTGTGAGTTCAGATCCACTAGTGTCACACTAAGAGGAAAGAGAGTTTGTGAGTTCAGATCCACTAGTGTCATATTAAGAGGAAAGAGAGTTTGTGAGTTCAGATCCACTAGTGTCACATTAAGAGGAAAGAGAGTTTGTGAGTTCAGATCCACTAGCATCACATTAAGAGGAAAGAGAGTTTGTGAGTTCAGATCCACTAGTGTCACATTAAGAGGAAAGAGAGTTTGTGAGTTCAGATCCACTAGTGTCACATTAAGAGGAAAGAGAGTTTGTGAGTTCAGATCCACTAGTGTCACATTAAGAGGAAAGAAAGTATCATTTTAAAATAATAAAATTTTTAGTGGCCATCTACAGCTAATCAAAATGTTGCAGGCCAAACTGACAAATTCTGAACTTACTACTGTAGTGTTAAGATCTCTAGAGTAGGTTTTTTTGGAGGTAAATGGATAGCCATTCAAAAACTCCAAAATGACAGCTTGTTGGCTCTTTGCAATATTGACAGTAAGGTTTAAAGAAAATCAGTTCATTAGTTATTGGGAAATCTGGTCAAATTCTATGATACCACTTGTTGCTACTTTGATACCCTTTGGGCCAGGTGAGCTAATAAATATGTATCCATACAGCCTACAAATTTGGTACAATTCTTCTACAGACACTAGATACTTTGTTGTACAAGGTTTTAATAATTCATCCTATGAAGTCTTAGTTATAACAATAAAAAAAAGATGAAATAAGATGGAACATAGGTTTTAGTTTTACAGCTGGTAAAAAAAGCATCAAAAACAAAAATGCACCTACATTCTATAACAGTTTGCATATTATTATATCAGTACTGGTTGGGTGGTCCTTTATTTCTCGTTTGCAATGCATGTTGACTTTCTGTATCTTGGTTTATTTGTCTTCATTTGAAATCCTGTTTGATGAAGTTTAATTCATTATCGACTCTAGCATATTTCATTCTTAGTTTAATTTTATGTACTGTTATACAACCATGAAATGACTGACATTGAGTTTAGGTTGTAAGATAAAACCATCAAGATCTATAAGAACATCACTGAGAGTAAGGACGTATAGATATTTGATTGTGGTATGAAATAGTACATGTATTACATATAATAGAAACGTATACATTAAAATACTGTGTATCAGTGTTTATTGACAAACATAAAAGCATTATTTCATTTTAGTGCCATAATGTCCAGATATAAAACACTGCAACGTGTCGTGATTATTTCTATGAAATTATTTATCTATATACACTGTCGTGATATCTATCCTCGCGAGAAGACTTTGAACACAATTGTCACAAAATGTATTTCGATGGATTATTATCTTTTGTATCTAAAAGTTATATCTCAGGTGTTTAACATATGGTAAGTTATCTGATTAGTTATGACTTATGAGTGATGTTGAATGAAGAATGTTTTATAGGCAAATGACCAAGGATTCATAGAAATCCTTGAACTTACAATTTCTCAGAAAGTTGACATATTTCATCAACGTAAGGTGACATACAATTACACATTTATGTACACAATTATGAATCTAATTAAAATTTTGATTTTTCTGATGTTTTTGATGATAAAAACAAGGATTAAGTGACGTGATGGGTGGGGAAGAAGCAAACAGAGAATATGTTGTGCACGATGTTGTGTGACAAAAAATGACATCAGGTAGATATTATACTTGTCCGCTGGAAGGCTGTAACAGCCTACGTAAATAGTTTTATTCGGCCATGTATTACAGTCAGATATTGATTTCCAGTGTACAAGTACATGGCTATTTATGGAGATTTACGAGAAATTATAGTCATGTCTAGATTATTCAGTAGAGTTTTAGACAACAGTACGTTTGTTTCACAGACTTTTCAATTTACTTATTGTTATCATATAATTTTCAAAAGTGAATAGTATTTCAAACATCTATTTGATAAATCATGTTGTGAAACTCAATCTCAGAACTCTGTTGTGGTAAAATTACTGAAAAGAAACAGAATTACAAACTTCCAGTTTCAGAGTTATGCTGGATATCAGTTACCCTTTTAAATATGTATGAACATCTATGCAACACTAATATCTTCCATAGAATAATCGAAAATATTTAAACAACTTCAATTTTGTTGTGGAATTAAGACCTTATCGCAAAATATAAGTGTATCAGAAACTTTAAGGGAGATAAATCAAACAGTGTTGATGATTTTTCTTCCCAACAGAAATAAGCGTAGTGATATCTGCATGAAATAGTTCCAAGTTGATGTTTCAGACCAAATTTTGTCAAAATCCACCAAGTTGTTAAGCAACAGTGTATTGTTTAAAAGGAAAAGTTTATGGATGGCGAACCGTGCATGGGGCACAACGATGGATGATGCATGATAGCAAAAGGTCATTTTGACCCTTTGGGTCAAATGGCCTCACAACATCAACTATAAATGATTTAATTTCAAAACTCATTTCATATTCTTTCTGTGGTGGTATATGAGTGCTGTTGGGTCTTTTTGCAGTGTACACTTCTGTTTAAGCTATAAAAATATCCTAGCTAGGAGCTAGCAGCTGATCAAGGTGATGGCTATAAACACCAAGCATCCTACAGATGCAAAGCATTTGAAAAACAGTGATACTTGTATTCTATATGTGAATTTAGTCGAAAAGAAATCTGCATATTGCCCTGCGATCTCAGAAGTAACATATCAGTACATATTATGGCCTAATGTAGCCCCAGGCACCGAACGGTCGGCTTGTCTGAAAAAACCGATATATTGGATAAATTTGTATTTTTGATGATCAGTATAAAAACTTATCTTATGAAATAAAACTTGATTAATATTTCCAATCTGTATGTGTTAAAATAACATTATTCAGTTACCAATGATTTAGATGCCAAACTGCAGCTCTCTAACTCGGTGAAACAATAGACGTGTACGATATGGTTTCAATTTGTCATCAGATAACTTTACATTATATTTATTATAATCCCCCCTTTAAGGGTAGGTAATGGGTTAAAAGCCTACCCTTGACAGGCCAAGGCACTGGGGCAAAGCTTGCCACTGTCACAACAGGTGTTGATTTCACAGTCTGCTGGTCAGAACCTGGGCCTTGATCCTTCAGGTAAGGTCGGTTTTCATTACTGATTTTCAGCGTATTTCAATCATTTCAGTCACAAAATTGGTTAGGTATTTGTAATTGAGATGGATCGATATTGGAAGGTTTTTATTACTACAATAAAGAGGATATCATTCTGTACATGGTCGTTTTGTTTTGGTTTGGGGTAGTTGCAATGTATCTCAACGAAATCATATCTCCAATGAATTTGAATAGATGTAAACTTGAGGTAAAATGACATACCTGTTTGTACGTAAACAGCCCGCTTGTGGCTCCTTTGCTAATTCCTGCTGCTCAACAAGGCTATACGCTTCCTCTCTTGACAACAGTTGGATCTCCAGTGGTAGACGCAGCTGTCTGTTGCATATAGTAACACAGTGTAACATACAGACTGGGCAACACAGTTTAACACCCACGTAATGTCACATTTGTTAATGTCACTTTCTGGTTAATATCAAAATTCTTGAAACACCAATTTTTTCCCAGTATATTTTATATAATCCAATATCTGATAATGTCACTTATTTTTATGTTTGCAACACTCAATATCACTTCATTTTGATGACTATCACAAACAAACACAGCTTAATCACAGATAAGTGAGGTCAGAATCTATGGATTCATGTCTGAAGGGTCATATGTCACACTTGGACACATTATGTAAACATGGTCACTGCCCTACTTGCCAACTTTTCACACCTTGTGACTCCTCAATACGACGATTGACCCTCTTACCTGAAAGGTCCAGCCAGGTGAAAGGAAGTCTTGTGTGTGTGTTTTTTTTTTATTTGGTTAGCTCATTTCAAGTGTTAAAATGGGTTTAAAACCCTTTGTCTCTTTGAACTTGTCACCATGCAACCAATGACATGGTCGTTCAAGATAATTTGTGATAGTAGTTTAGGTATATTGTAAAGAATAAACAAACAAAAGTTTAGGAAAATCACTGTTCTTATGGGAAAAACAAATCAAATTACAAATTTCTTGTCTTCAAACAATTTCTGTTAAAAACAAGGACACAGTCATCAAGATCCCCGCCAATGTTCATTTCTAAAATATATACATTTAAAGTAAGCAACATGGAAAAGATATCTGGCCACAGCAACCTCATTAAATATGCACAGAATTTGCAGACAATTAAACTTGAACAAAGGATTAAGGTAAAAAGTCTACCAAGCAAGTCTCCTCGTAATTCATTTGTCCCTTCAAAGATAACATGCAGAAAGCATTCAGTTAGAATACCAAATGACCTCAGCCAATCAGGTCACAGCAGTCTCATAAAATATGCATAGAATTTGACGATAATCAAACCTGAACCTGCAGAAAGATTTTCCATACAGTGATGAAAGAAATTGGTCAATCAGGTCACAGCAGCCTCATTAAATATGAGCGGAATTTACTGAAGTTTGTCAAATGTAGGCAAGGGATTAAGGTAACAAGTGTACCAACCAAGTTTCATCAAAATCCTACCAGTCCTTCAAGAGATATCATGCAGAAAGCAGTATTTGGATAGATGGAAGAAACCCATTTGAATATCCCCTGCTGACTTTACTAGGCAGGGGATAACAAGTCAGTTTGACAGATCAGAAAATTCTCCCAGACAAATGGAAAATATTAAGCAGGTTTTACTGTACAAGTACAAGAGATAAAAGTAATAGAAGTATAACACAAATAACAAAAAAACACACCTGAGTTTGACAGATGAATAAACTCCAGGATGAATTTTCCCTTTGTATTCTGGTTTCCACTGGAAGCTGATGAAGGCCCTGAAATAAATCTTCCATTGTTAAAAATTAACATTAGAGAGACTAATAGCACACTCCTACAATATCACTCTCACAGCACGCCCCTCCAATACCACTCTCACAGCACACCTCTACAATATCACTCTCACAGCACACCCCTACAATATCACTCTCACAGCACACCCCTACAATATCACTCTCACAGCACACCTCTACAATATCATTCTCACAGCACACCCCTACAATATCATTCTTACAGCACACCTCTACAATATCACTCTCACAGCACACCCCTACAATATCACTCTTACAGCACACCTCTACAATATCACTCTCACAGCACACCTTTACAATATCACTCTCACAGCACGCCCCTCCAATACAACTCTCACAGCACACCTCTACAATATCACTCTCACAGCACACCCCTACAATATCACTCTCACAGCACACCTCTACAATATCATTCTTACAGCACACAATATCACTCTCACAGCACACCCCTACAATATCACTCTCACAGCACACCTTTACAATATCACTCTCACAGCACACCTCTACAATATCACTCTCACAGCACATCTCTACAATTTCACTCTCACTGCACAACTTTACAATATCACTCTCACTGCACACCTTTACAATATCACTCTCACAGCACACCTCTACAATATCACTCTCACAGCACACCTCTACAATATCACTCTCACAACACACCTTTACAATATCACTCTCACAGCACACCCCTACAATATCACTCTCACAGCACACCTCTACAATATCACTCTCACAGCACACCTCTACAATATCACTCTCACAGCACACCTCTACAATATCACTCTCACAGCACACCTTTACAATATCACTCTCACAGCACACCCCTACAATATCACTCTCACAGCACACCTCTACAATATCTTCCTCATAACACACCTTTACAATATCACTCTCACAGCACACCCCTACAATATCACTCTCACAGCACACCTCTACAATATCTTCCTCATAACACACCTTTACAATATCACTCTCACAGCACACCTCTACAATATCACTCTCACAGCACACCTCTACAATATCTTCCTCATAACACACCTTTACAATATCACTCTCACAGCACACCTCTACAATATCACTCTCACAACACATCTCTACATCAGCGTCAAAATATGCTTATATTTACACTTTTACAAACATTTGTTTTTAACATCCATTTTTGTTTGATCAAGAAAATGAACAATGCTGCTACATACTTTGTCTCCTCAAAAAAGGCAGTAGGTCTGTAGCCAATATCTCTAAAATGGTCTTCTACAACACTCTTGTAAAGACTTCCCTGATTGGCCGGTAAACCTTTCACCTACAACCAATAATAAACAAGTATGATGATGTACACAGTATCGGGAGGGGTTGTGACCTGACAGTAGTGTACCAATGTACCATAACAGTGATAAATTGGTCATGACATCACACAATTACCTACAATAAATGTGTTGAAGGGGTCAAGACCTGACACAATTACATACCATAACAGTGTTGAAGGGGTCATGACCTGACACAATAACATACCATAACAGTGTTGAAGGGGTCATGACCTGACACAATAACATACCATAACAGTGTTGAAGGGGTCATGACCTGACACAATAACATACCATAACAGTGTTGAAGGGGTCATGACCTGACACAATAACATACCATAACAGTGTTGAAGGGGTCATGACCTGACACAATAACATACCATAACAGTGTTGAAGGGGTCATGACCTGACATGATCCGGTTGGACTCCTGCTCATCTATTGGTTCCTTGATGAAGTAGTTGGGGTAGAAAGCACCTGCCATTATCACCTAAAAAACCAGATTGAAGTGACAGTCTGTTAAAACCTACAAACAATGATTCTGTTTCATTCCCAGCCCTTCTAGGCTTTGTTAAAAGGTAATTAATCAATTCTAAAAACTAACAAATGATGAAGACCATATCTTTAACTGTTTTATATATATCAAGATGCCTCGTCATACCTTTAATAGCAGTCGTTCTTGGTCCTCCGAAAACTTTCGTTTGTAGTTTGGAATCTGTTTTGGTTTCTGGATGTTCAAGTTGCCCAACCTTGACTCCAGCTCCTTTACTAACTCCTGGACCTGAACACAATTAAAAACTTTTGGTTTACAAAAAATCAAAATAAATAGGCCTTTATCCTTTTGTGCAATCATCCTTAAAACAGAAGTAGTGGGGACATTTTTCACTTGTCTTGATATTTCTAATGACCTTGTACAGGCATTGAATGAAATTTTCAGGTACCTATGTTGGATTGATTTGTATGACACCTACCTCATACAAGCGTTTGATCTGAAGGAAGTGCATTCTACCCCATGAAACCTCCTTTTGACTGCGACGCTTGAAATCACCTAACAGCTTCCTCTTCTCCCATTCCTGTGAAATATTAGGATAATAACACAATTTGTTGAACAATGAAAGATCACTGAAGGATCTTGGCAGCTACCATTATTTGATCTTTAAATGTAGGATCTTTTCCCATTCTATTTTTCTTTTCCCTGTTTTCATTCTTCATTATATAAAATGTGCGAATTCCTGTGAAGAAATAGTTATAATTATCTTGACTTGTCCAATAAAAGATGGTTCCCTCCAAGTATTATGTTTTTCTGATTGTTCCCACATCAAAAGGGCTCAACAACAGAATAAAGTTAACCTATGTCTGAAAGATCCATCTCAGGAAATAGCAACATCAAACTATCACTGAAGATGTAACAAGTCAGCTTTTCTAATCAGAGGCAAAATCAACAGGACACAACTAGGGACCAAGTGGAACCTCCATATGTAGACACACTTATCCTGTAGATACAACTAGGGACCAAGTGGAACCTCCATATGTAGACACACTTACCCTGTAGACACACTTACTCAGTAGACACAACTAGGGACCAAGTGGAACCTCCATATGTAGACACACTTACCCTGTAGACACAACTAGGGACCAAGTGGAACTTCCATATGTAGACACACTTACCCTGTAGATACACTTACCCTGTAGACATTGAGGATTGTGATAGTCACTGCTAGACCTATAAGCCTACTATAGTTTATGTCTGTAGACACACTTACCCTGTAGGCACACTTACCCTGTAGGCATTAAGGATTGTGATAGTCACTGCTAGACCTATATACCTACTATAGTTTATGTCTGTAGACACACTTACCCTGTAGGCATTGAGGGTTGTGATAATCACTGCTAGACCTATACGTCTACTATAGTTTATGTCTGTAGACACACTTACCCTGTAGACACACTTTCCCTGTAGACACACTTACCCTGAAGGCATTGAGGATTGTGATAGTCACTGCTAGACCTATATACCCACTATAGTTTATGTCTGTAGACACACTTACCCTGTAGACACACTTACTCAGTAGACACAACTAGGGACCAAGTGGAACCTCCATATGTAGACACACTTACCCTGTAGACACAACTAGGGACCAAGTGGAACTTCCATATGTAGACACACCTACCCTGTAGATACACTTACCCTGTAGACATTGAGGATTGTGATAGTCACTGCTAGACCTATAAGCCTACTATAGTTTATGTCTGTAGACACACTTACCCTGTAGGCACACTTACCCTGTAGGCATTAAGGATTGTGATAGTCACTGCTAGACCTATATACCTACTATAGTTTATGTCTGTAGACACACTTACCCTGTAGGCATTAAGGATTGTGATAGTCACTGCTAGACCTATATACCTACTATAGTTTATGTCTGTAGACACACTTACCCTGTAGGCATTGAGGGTTGTGATAATCACTGCTAGACCTATACGTCTACTATAGTTTATGTCTGTAGACACACTTACCCTGTAGACACACTTTCCCTGTAGACACACTTACCCTGAAGGCATTGAGGATTGTGATAGTCACTGCTAGACCTATATACCCACTATAGTTTATGTCTGTAGACACACTTACCCTGTAGACACACTTACTCAGTAGACACAACTAGGGACCAAGTGGAACCTCCATATGTAGACACACTTACCCTGTAGACACAACTAGGGACCAAGTGGAACTTCCATATGTAGACACACCTACCCTGTAGATACACTTACCCTGTAGACATTGAGGATTGTGATAGTCACTGCTAGACCTATAAGCCTACTATAGTTTATGTCTGTAGACACACTTACCCTGTAGGCACACTTACCCTGTAGGCATTAAGGATTGTGATAGTCACTGCTAGACCTATATACCTACTATAGTTTATGTCTGTAGACACACTTACCCTGTAGGCATTGAGGGTTGTGATAATCACTGCTAGACCTATACGTCTACTATAGTTTATGTCTGTAGACACACTTACCCTGTAGACACACTTTCCCTGTAGACACACTTACCCTGAAGGCATTGAGGATTGTGATAGTCACTGCTAGACCTATATACCCACTAGACCTATATACCCACTATAGTTTATGTCTGTAGACACACTTACCCTGCAGACACACTTACCCTGTAGGCATTGAGGGTTGTGATAATCACTGCTAGACCTATATACCTACTATAGTTTATGTCTGTAGACACACTTACCCTGTAGGCATTAAGGATTGTGATAGTCACTGCTAGACCTATATACCTACTATAGTTTATGTAGACACACTTACCCTGTAGGCATTGAGGGTTGTGATAATCACTGCTAGACCTATACGTCTACTATAGTTTATGTCTGTAGACACACTTACCCTGTAGACACACTTTCCCTGTAGACACACTTACCCTGAAGGCATTGAGGATTGTGATAGTCACTGCTAGACCTATATACCCACTATAGTTTATGTCTGTAGACACACTTACCCTGTAGACACACTTACTCAGTAGACACAACTAGGGACCAAGTGGAACCTCCATATGTAGACACACTTACCCTGTAGACACAACTAGGGACCAAGTGGAACTTCCATATGTAGACACACCTACCCTGTAGATACACTTACCCTGTAGACATTGAGGATTGTGATAGTCACTGCTAGACCTATAAGCCTACTATAGTTTATGTCTGTAGACACACTTACCCTGTAGGCACACTTACCCTGTAGGCATTAAGGATTGTGATAGTCACTGCTAGACCTATATACCTACTATAGTTTATGTCTGTAGACACACTTACCCTGTAGGCATTGAGGGTTGTGATAATCACTGCTAGACCTATACGTCTACTATAGTTTATGTCTGTAGACACACTTACCCTGTAGACACACTTTCCCTGTAGACACACTTACCCTGAAGGCATTGAGGATTGTGATAGTCACTGCTAGACCTATATACCCACTATAGTTTATGTCTGTAGACACACTTACCCTGCAGACACACTTACCCTGTAGGCATTGAGGGTTGTGATAATCACTGCTAGACCTATATACCTACTATAGTTTATGTCTGTAGACACACTTACCCTGTAGGCATTGAGGATGGCGATACAGTCACTGCTAGACCTATATACTTACTATAGTTTATGTCTGTAGACACACTTACCCTGTAGGCATTGAGGATGGCGATACAGTCACTGCTAGATCCAGCAGACCACTCCAATTTGTGTCTATATGCCTCCAGATGTTTTTTGTATGGACTGGCAAATACAGATTTCAGTGACAGTGCTGCAGCTATTGATTAAAAGCATTTGTCAGTAAAGAATTATAAGATATCTAGAATTGATCTATTTCATTTCGAAAAGAAGTTGACAATATGAAAGATTTTTTTTTTTAATAATCAGTTACATATGAAGCAAAGTAGCTTGTTTTATTGACAAAAAGAACTGAAGGTAACTTTCACACCCATCAGAAAATTACAACAACCATCATAAAACTATCACATCCATCATCACAGAACTACCACATCCATCACAGAACTACCACATCCATCACAGAACTACCACATCCATCACAGAACTATCACATCATCTGAGGCAATGCTTCAGCTATCTACGGTATCAGGCAGTAAATCATCTTGACTATAGTACTGAAAACTTTACCTATGATGAGACAATCTTCCAGTAGTCCAAACACATGGCCCAGGATAAGCAACTTTCCGAGGCGAACATCGAGAGGAACATCAGCTAACACTCGCCCGACAAAGGTCAGCTCACCATCATGGCGACTATCTGTTTCATTAGTTGGGGTGCTCAGTGCTCCTACCTGTGTTCGCATATCAAGTTGTCATTCCTATCAGTAAACAGTATGTTGAACAATACCCTACCTTTACAACAGGAATTTAAAACAAAGGTAATCTGTATACTAAACAACTATGGTTAAAGAATTAGATTTAATTACATTTAATATGTGTCTCAGTACAAAGTCAATAACAGATCTAGTTACAGTTAATATGTGTCTCGGTACAAAGTCAATAACAGAAATCTAGTTACAGTTAATATGTGTCTCGGTACAAAGTCAATAACAGAAATCTAGTTACAGTTAATATGTGTCTCGGTACAAAGTCAATAACAGAAATCTAGTTACAGTTAATATGTGTCTCGGTACAAAGTCAATAACAGATCTAGTTACAGTTAATATGTGTCTCGGTACAAAGTCAATAACAGAAATCTAGTTACAGTTAATATGTGTCTCAGTACAAAGTCAATAACAGAAATCTAGTTACAGTTAATATGTGTCTCAGTACAAAGTCAATAACAGAAATCTAGTTACAGTTAATATGTGTCTCAGTACAAAGTCAATAACAGAAATCTAGTTACAGTTAATATGTGTCTCAGTACAAAGTCAATAACAGAAATCTAGTTACAGTTAATATGTGTCTGTACAAAGTCAATAACAGAAATCTAGTTACAGTTAATATGTGTCTCAGTACAAAGTCAATAACAGAAATCTAGTTACAGTTAATATGTGTCTCAGTACAAAGTCAATAACAGAAATCTAGTTACAGTTAATATGTGTCTCAGTACAAAGTCAATAACAGAAATCTAGTTACAGTTAATATGTGTCTCGGTACAAAGTCAATAACAGAAATCTGGTTACAGTTAATATGTGTCTCAGTACAAAGTCAATAACAGATCTAGTTACAGTTAATATGTGTCTCGGTACAAAGTCAATAACAGAAATCTAGTTACAGTTAATATGTGTCTCGGTACAAAGTCAATAACAGAAATCTAGTTACAGTTAATATGTGTCTCAGTACAAAGTCAATAACAGAAATCTAGTTACAGTTAATATGTGTCTCAGTACAAAGTCAATAACAGTTAAATCTACAAAGTCAATAACAAATCTAGTTACAGTTAATATGTGTCTCTACAAAGTCAATAACAGAAACAAAGTCAATACAAAGTCAATAACAGAAATCTGGTTACAGTTAATATGTGTCTCAGTACAAAGTCAATAACAGAAATCTAGTTACAGTTAATATGTGTCTCAGTACAAAGTCAATAACAGAAATCTGGTTACAGTTAATATGTGTCTCAGTACAAAGTCAATAACAGAAATCTGGTTACAGTTAATATGTGTCTCAGTACAAAGTCAATAACAGAAATCTGGTTACAGTTAATATGTGTCTCAGTACAAAGTCAATAACAAATCTAATTACAGTTAATATGTGTCTCAGTCAAAGTCAATAACAGAAATCTGGTTACAGTTAATATGTGTCTCAGTACAAAGTCAATAACAGAAATCTAGTACAGTTAATAGTACAAACAGAAATCTGGTTACAGTTAATATGTGTCTCAGTACAAAGTCAATCAGAAATCTGGTTACAGTTAATATGTGTCTCAGTACAAAGTCAATAACAGAAATCTGGTTACAGTTAATATGTGTCTCAGTACAAAGTCAATAACAGAAATCTGGTTACAGTTAATATGTGTCTCAGTACAAAGTCAATAACAGATCTAGTTACAGTTAATATGTGTCTCAGTACAAAGTCAATAACAGAAATCTAGTTACAGTTAACAAGTATTTCAACACTCTAGCATGAAGCTGTGTCTCCAATACAGTTGACAACAAAACTCCACAACTCATTATCTGTTGCTGATTGTATACGTGACTATAATATCAGCAATGATATACTGACCTCCTTTAGCAACAGAATGGTTTTCTCTATGTCATCCAAGTTAGGCGGAGACAGGGCCAGTGCTAGGATGGCTTTTGGCTCTCCAAGATCAAACACCTTAACATTAAGTATGATACGCTCCAGTGGGCAGCGCTGAAAAGTTAGATAAGGTAGCATTAGGTGTCACATAATTCATAGTGAGATGGAAATATAGAAGGCTCCAAAGTGGTCAATGCTTACCTTATAAAATATTGGCCAACGTTCCATGTAAACAAGCATTGCTCTCAGATGTCTTCTCCTGTTAACAGTTTTGGATGATCAAGTGCCCACTTTGAGCAGAATACTTTCCTCAAAGTGATGTGATCACGAGCTTATTTATGTCTATTGTATCAAACACACGGCTACATCAACAAAAAATAGAGTGTGCCAAAATGTGGGAGAGTACAGAGAGTTTTACCAAGGAATGGATGGTACGTTTCCTTATACAACAAGATTATATGCTGAACCAAATATTTAGAGACAGTGAAATGCAGTGACATCAGTAATTACCATGAAAATCCAACAGGATGCGGGCATGTTCATGTTGTTGTTGTCAATACAACTGTTGTGTTTAAAGCCTTATGGAATGCAAAGGCTAAATAGAGCTGCCTAACTTGCATGTCATTTAATCAGTCTGACAAGTTTAATCAGAAAAGGATTTCCTTCATTAGTTATGTCATTAGGAATTTTTCAGAACTCAGTGGGTTATAATATCTAAATAGGAATATAGACAAATTCTTAGGTCATCCGAAAGGTCAGGATGACCTATAGCCTTTGTGTTTTGTTCTTTGTCCTGAATCATCCTACTTTCCATCCAAATGATTTTTTCTCAATTACCAAAAGGCCCCAGGGTGATAATATTGTGTCTGGAGCATGCTGTGAAGAAGAGCTATCAAGTTTGTTAATATGAATGACCTTGACCCACTTTCAAGGTATGGAGGTCAAATATATCTTTAGGGTGCACATATTGGACCCATTGGTTATTGAGAAGTTGTTCAAAGATTTTGACACATGTAACCTTGAAAATGGGTCAATGTCATTTATTTCAACAAACTTAACTGCAACATCCCAACATGCTACAGGCCTAATATCACTTACATGGACCTTTTTTTTATTGAGAAGAAATTATTTTAAGATTTTGAAATATTTGACCTCTGTGATCTTGAAAAGCGGGTCAAGATCAATATGATCATGCCATCATGCTAAATGCAGAGAAGATGGAATGCCAGCAGACGAAACACGATGGCTAAGATCTTAACACGAGATTCCAGAGGGATCTTGTGCCCATCATTGTTTGATCCTTATTTGCTCTTTGGAAGTTGGATTTTTCCCTTCTTTTCTCTTCTCTGTTTTTGCTCGTAATGATAAGACATTTGAACATTCCTTGCTGATATAGCGATGATAATCTTTACCTGCCTAATCCCAAATGGCCACTTGGAACCCGTTTTGTTTCTTCTGATCAGACCCAACGAGTACAAGGAGAGACCAAAGGGAACATATGCATGAAATTTGAGAGCTATCCATTCAGTATTTCTTAAGAAATAGGGATAACAATTTACATTAGGCAAAATCCAAGATGGCTGCCTGTTGGCCATTTTGTTTTCCTGATCAGTCCTAAAATCAAACAGGCACAACTGGGGACCAAGAGGAACCTATACATGAAAGTTAAGAAAGAACTAAACAGTACTCAAGAAACAGTGATAACAAACTTTTAAAGTCAAAATCCAAAACTGGCCGCATGTGGGCCATTTTGTTTTTTCTGATCAGTACCAAAATTAAACAGGCACAATGAGGGATCAAGGGAAACATACACATGAAATGTGAAGAAAGATCTACCAAGTACTTCTCAAGAAAGCGATAACAAACTTTCAAAGTCAAAATCCTAGATAGCCACCTTTCACCCATTTAATTTTTCTGATCAGACCCAAAAACAAATGGGCACAACTAAGGACCAAGAAATTTAAGAAAGACCCATCAAGTACTTCTGAGGAAACAGCGAAAACAAACTTGGAAAAACGAAATCCATGACCACACAAAATTACATGGGCACATCTAGAGACCAATGGGAACCTACACATGAAATTTGATCTAAACAGCAGTTCTCAATAAATAGTGATAACTAACTTTCAAAGTCAAAATCCAATATGGCCACCTTTCGGCCATTTTTTTTCTTTCTGATCACTCCCAAAATTAAATGGGCACAATCAGAGACCAAGGGGAACCTACATATGATATTTGAGAGAGATCCATCCAGTACTGCTCCAGAAATAGTGACAAAAAAAATTGTTTATGGACCATTGGATAGACAATGGACGTATGGACAATGGACTACATCAGATGGTAGGCTAAAAACTGAATTCAAATAAATTTTTCAAGACAGTGTGAGTTTCTGGATTGGAATCTCATCAGTGTGTTTTTTGTCCTAGTATACATTTATAATGATAATTATATCAGTTTAAATAATAATAAATAAATGGATACATACCTGCATTTCAGGGATGCCAAAGTCTGGTATGAAGTGCTCCCAGAAATATCTTGTAATCATTCTGTACACTCTGCCATTGGACACTCTACCAGCTCGACCTGTAACAACAAAGAATGTAATCTGTAACTAGTTTCATATAGTAATGATGTCAGTTCGTTTACCTTTCCTCTGGTAACCAGTATTAGTGTCAGTGTTTACCTTTCCTCTGGTAACCAGTATTAGTGTCAGTGTTTACCTTCCCTCTGGTAACAGTATTGATATCAGTGTTTACCTTTCCCATGGTAACCAGTATTGATGTCAGTTCGTTTACCTTTCCTCTGGTAACCAGTATTAGTGTCAGTGTTTACCTTTCCTCTGGTAACCAGTATTAGTGTCAGTGTTTACCTTTCCTCTGGTAACCAGTATTAGTGTCAGTGTTTACCTTTCCCCTGGTAACCAGTATTAGTGTCAGTGTTTACCTTTCCTCTGGTAACAGTATTAGTGTCAGTGTTTACCTTTCCCCTGGTAACCAGTATTAGTGTCAGTGTTTACCTTTCCTCTGGTAACAGTATTAGTGTCAGTGTTTACCTTTCCCCTGGTAACCAGTATTAGTGTCAGTGTTTACCTTTCCTCTGGTAACAGTATTAGTGTCAGTGTTTACCTTTCCTCTGGTAACCAGTATTAGTGTCAGTGTTTACCTTTCCTCTGGTAACAGTATTAGTGTCAGTGTTTACCTTTCCTCTGGTAACAGTATTAGTGTCAGTGTTTACCTTTCCTCTGGTAACAGTATTAGTGTCAGTGTTTACCTTTCCTCTGGTAACAGTATTAGTGTCAGTGTTTACCTTTCCTCTGGTAACAGTATTAGTGTCAGTGTTTACCTTTCCTCTGGTAACAGTATTAGTGTCAGTGTTTACCTTTCCTCTGGTAACCAGTATTAGTGTCAGTGTTTACCTTTCCTCTGGTAACAGTATTATTAGTGTTTACCTTTCCTCTGGTCAGTGTTTACCTTTCCTCTGGTAACAGTATTAGTGTCAGTGTTTACCTTTCCCCTGGTAACAGTATTAGTGTCAGTGTTTACCTTTCCTCTGGTAACAGTATTAGTGTCAGTGTTTACCTTTCCTCTGGTAACAGTATTAGTGTCAGTGTTTACCTTTCCTCTGGTAACAGTATTAGTGTCAGTGTTTACCTTTCCTCTGGTAACAGTATTAGTGTCAGTGTTTACCTTTCCTCTGGTAACAGTATTAGTGTCAGTGTTTACCTTTCCTCTGGTAACAGTATTAGTGTCAGTGTTTACCTTTCCTCTGGTAACAGTATTAGTGTCAGTGTACCTTTTGGTAACAGTGTCAGTGTCAGTGTTTACCTTTCCTCTGGTAAGTGTCAGTATTATTAGTGTCAGTGTTTACCTTTCCTCTGGTAACAGTACCTTTCCTCTGGTAACAGTATTAGTGTCAGTGTTTACCTTTCCTCTGGTAACCAGTGTTAGTGTCAGTGTTCACCTTTCCTCTGGTAACAGTATTAGTGTCAGTGTTTACCTTTCCTCTGGTAACAGTATTAGTGTCAGTGTTTACCTTTCCTCTGGTAACAGTATTAGTGTCAGTGTTTACCTTTCCTCTGGTAACAGTATTGTTGTCAGTGTTTACCTTTCCTCTGGTAACAGTATTAGTGTCAGTGTTTACCTTTCCTCTGGTAACAGTATTAGTGTCAGTGTTTACCTTTAACAGTATTAGTGTCAGTGTTTACCCTCTGGTAACAGTATTAGTGTCAGTGTTTACCTTTCCCTCTGGTAACAGTATTAGTGTCAGTGTTTACCTTTCCCCTTACCTTTCCTCTGGTAACAGTATTAGTGTCAGTGTTTACTGGTTACAGTATTAGTGTCAGTGTTTACCTTTCCTCTGGTAACAGTATTAGTGTCAGTGTTTACCTTCCCTCTAGTTACAGTATTAGTGTCAGTGTTTACCTTCCCTCTGATAACAGTATTAGTGTCAGTGTTTACAGTATTAGTTCAGTGTTTACCTCTGGTAACCAGTATTAGTGTCAGTGTCTGGTAACCAGTATTAGTGTCAGTGTTTACCTTTCCTCTGGTAACAGTATTAGTGTCAGTGTTTACCTTTCCTCTGGTAACAGTATTAGTGTCAGTGTTTACCTTTCCTCTGGTAACCAGTATTGTTGTCAGTGTGTACCTTTCCCCTGGTAACCAGTATTAGTGTCAGTGTTTACCTTTCCCCTGGTAACAGTATTAGTGTCAGTGTTTACCTTTCCTCTGGTAACAGTATTAGTGTCAGTGTTTACCTTTCCTCTAGTTACAGTATTGGTGTCAGTGTTTACCTTTCCCCTGGTAACAGTATTAGTGTCAGTGTTTACCTTTCCTCTGGTTACAGTATTAGTGTCAGTGTTTACCTTTCCTCTGGTAACAGTATTAGTGTCAGTGTTTACCTTTCCTCTGGTTACAGTATTAGTGTCAGTGTTTACCTTTCCCCTGGTAACAGTATTAGTGTCAGTGTTTACCTTTCCTCTGGTAACAGTATTAGTGTCAGTGTTTACCTTCCCTCTGGTAACAGTATTAGTGTCAGTGTTTACCTTTCCTCTGGTAACCAGTATTAGTGTCAGTGTTTACCTTTCCTCTGGTAACAGTATTAGTGTCAGTGTTTACCTTTCCCCTGGTAACAGTATTAGTGTCAGTGTTTACCTTTCCTCTGGTAACAGTATTAGTGTCAGTGTTTACCTTTCCCCTGGTAACAGTATTAGTGTCAGTGTTTACCTTTCCCCTGGTAACCAGTATTAGTGTCAGTGTTTACCTTTCCCCTGGTAACCAGTATTAGTGTCAGTGTTTACCTTCCCTCTGGTAACAGTATTGGTGTCAGTGTTTACCTTCCCTCTGGTAACCAGTATTAGTGTCAGTGTTTACCTTTCCCCTGGTAACCAGTATTAGTGTCAGTGTTTACCTTTCCCCTGGTAACAGTATTAGTGTCAGTGTTTACCTTTCCCCTGGTAACAGTATTAGTGTCAGTGTTTACCTTTCCCCTGGTAACAGTATTAGTGTCAGTGTTTACCTTTCCTCTGGTAACAGTATTAGTGTCAGTGTTTACCTTTCAGTGTTTACCTCTGGTAACAGTATTAGTGTCAGTGTTTACCTTTCCTCTGGTAACAGTATTAGTGTCAGTGTTTACCTTTCCTCTGGTAACAGTATTAGTGTCAGTGTTTACCTTTCCCCTGGTAACAGTATTAGTGTCAGTGTTTACCTTCCCTCTGGTAACAGTATTAGTGTCAGTGTTTACCTTTCCTCTGGTAACAGTATTAGTGTCAGTGTTTACCTTTCCCCTGGTAACCAGTATAGGTGTCAGTGTTTACCTTTCCTCTGGTTACAGTTGGCACAGGAAGCCCACTCCACCTGAAGACTGGTATAGTTGGTGTCTGCATCTGCCACCAGGTTCTTTGTCAGACAAAAGTCAATAACTACAACAAGAAAATTATTCCATACAAAATGGTTCCATTTTCAATACTTTACATAACAACATTATCAACATCTTGATTCTATGTTGATTCCACATCTATTGTCTTGGTCAGATATCAGAATCTGTGCTGAAAATTATCTCCATCACAATTTAAATGGAGAAAAACTGTCTGTATGATACCGATTATTTCATTTTTTGACATAATTGTAACTAATTAAAAATTTGCATTGTAAGGTGCTATTGAAACTTGGGTCTTTGTACAGTCTCAGGTAAGTAGACACTCACCATATTTGATGTCTGGTACTGTTATGGAACTTTCAGCAATATTTGTAGACAAAATGACCTGAAATACCAAACAGAGAGTTAAAATGTCTAGGATCCAAAATACATACTCCTGATAGCATTAATAGCACTATGAATGCCATACCTTTGATAGATATGTTGACACTGCCCTGGATATTTTGATTCATCTACAACTTAAATTTGGTGAATGTTTCCATTGGCTACCAATAGGTACACATGTACTCTATCCTTTCATGTCATCATATTGTGTATAATAATTTCCCTAATCACTCTATTGTGTGGTAATAGCTGACATTAATTTGTCTCCCCAGTATCAGGCATCTCAAACACCTTGGACTATTCCTCCAGTGTCAGGTTAGCTGACTTACCTTCCTCTCCCCAGTATCAGGCATCTCAAACACCTTGGACTGTTCCTCCAGTGTCAGGTTAGCTGACTTACCTTCCTCTCCCCAGTATCAGGCATCTCAAACACCTTGGACTGTTCCTCCAGTGTCAGGATAGCTGACTTACCTTCCTCTCCCCAGGACCAGGCATCTCAAACACCTTAGACTGTTCCTCCAGTGTCAGGATAGCTGACTTACCTTCCTCTCCCCAGGACCAGGCATCTCAAACACCTTGGACTGTTCCTCCAGTGTGATGGACGAATGCAGGGGAAGAATTTTCAACCTGAAATACAAACCACACCAGTTCTCTTACAGGTTTTGTCATTCTACTCTTGAAATAGTTTACAGAGATTTTTCTATAAAACAATGTTTTTACTACAAAGACAGACATAAGCCTTCGTTACGGACATAAGCCTTCGTTACGGACATAACCTCTTGTTCCTTTTCTTGATTTGTGAAGTAATTTCACAGGACACTTACATAAGACTACTGTAAGGCTGTAGAATAGCTCAAACTTGGTACCGTTCCATTTTCAAATAGTTTTGATTCAAAATTCAATCAAAATTCAGATTAACAGCAGTACATACTTGTGTTTTTGGCACCTGTCCTGTAGACTTGTATCCATATATTCTATCTCAGCTTGACCTGAAATTTAAGATTTTTTTAGAGTAATTCACCACTCAAACAAACAAGACAATTAATGCCTTGGGGCCCCAGTATGACCTTTAAGTAATCAGTATATTGGTTATCCTACATTCCGCTAGGATTGTTCAGATGATACCTAGTAGAATACTCAGCTGGTCTAGTGGCACAGTGGAAACACGCTCACCTCTCACCTTAACGTTCCGAAATTTGATTCTCTGAACAGATCTGAAAAGTAAGAGGGTCACCTGCCCAACATTTTGTGTTTTCCCCGAGTACTTGGGTTTCTTTTGACAGACAGACCTCTCGTGCAATTTTGGGCCAATATCAGTGATTACTAGAAGCTTACAGACAGTTTTGAAATAAAGAGATAAATAAAGGTTGTATTATACCTGGTAGGAAAACAAGCACTGTTCCTCTGAAGTTAGCAAAACCTGTCACAGATATTCTGAAAAATAAAAACAAATTTACTAATAATCAATACTTTGAAGCTTCTTTGCAGAGAATTGACATCTAAATTGAAAATGTATTGTATGTAATAGACTTTAATGCACCTTTATTAACCTTGCATCAATTTACAAGTCAGAAATAAAAGTCAGATTTGTATCTAGACTGCACTACACTTCAATATGACAAAGTTACTTAATATGAAGAATGTTTTTGTTACCCTTGGTCTTTGGCTTCCAGACTATCAAATTCTTGTATGAGCCGGACTGCCATACTGTAAGCCTCTTGGGAGATGGCTGGTGATCCTTCATCAAGTGGAGGCACCTATCCCAGTTACAGAAGCCAAGGTTTATAAAAATCTCAAGGTTTCACATACCATGAAAGATGTTTGTTATATCCTCCCTGTATACCAATTATATAAATCTCCTCAACGAAGGCAAACATAAGCAAGAGTAGGCTTGTTACAGAATGATAATTGGGCTGTCTTATTACTGGATGATGAAGGGTGGGCTTATATAAAATGAAGGGTGGGCTTATTACATAAAATGAAGGAGGGCTTATTACATAAAATGAAGGATGGGCTTATTACATAAAATGAAGGGTGGGCTTATTACATAAAATGAAGGGTGGGCTTATTACATACAATGAAGGGTGGGCTTACTACATAAAATGAAGGGTGGGCTTACTACATAAAATGAAGGGTGGGCTTATTACATACAATGAGGGGTGGGCTTACTACATAAAATGAAGGATGGGCTTATTACATAAAATGAAGGAGGGCTTATTACATAAAATGAAGGGTGGGCTTACTACATAAAATGAAGGATGGGCTTATTACATAAAATGAAGGATGGGCTTATTACATAAAATGAAGGAGGGCTTATTACATAAAATGAAGGATGGGCTTATTACATAAAATGAAGGGTGGGCTTATTACATAAAATGAAGGAGGGCTTATTACATAAAATGAAATGTGGGCTTATATTACAAGATGATAAAGAGAGGGCTTTTTAGGCTTTTTACAGGACAAAGTTGGGTGGGCAAAGTCATTCATATTGACAAACTTGGTAGCTCTTCATCCCATCATACTACAGACCCATTATCAGTACTCTTAGCCTTCTGGTTATTGGGAAGAAGCCATTTGAATGGAAAGTTTACATATGGTGGATAATGCATGACGATTGATGAAACATGAATGTTAAAAATTGACTCTGTGGCCTACATACTAGTATGGTTTATAACCTGGAAAATATGGTAACTTGTTTTACCTCCCCTAAGACAGATAGGTCCTCTGTGTAGTACTCTGACACAGCAAATATCTTGCCTTCCACACTGATGACTGGAGCAGGTTCAAGCTTCCTTCCCAGGGGTAGCGCAAAGTAATTTGCAAACATTTCTGAGTCAATGGTGGCTGACATCAACACAACCTTAACATGCGGAGAGTTTGTTCTGAGAAGCTTACGTACCACCAACAGACTGAAATCGGTATCCTGGTTTCGTTCATGGACCTGTACAGGGAAACAGCTTCAAAATCACCAAGTTCAATATTTCAGAGTTTATTTTGCATATACTTGACTTATTAAAATAAGAATACCTTAGCAAATGACATATTCCTTTGTATCACTGACAACTATTGAATCTTGTATGACACATTTGTAATAACACTTGGATAAAACTTAAAGGGAATTTTTCCTATGAATCTTACACTCTTTGTTTTGTTTAGTGCACCGTTCAATAATCTGATACCATACTCTATTTAACTCATCAAACTGACATGGATCCACAATTCTCAGGTGTATAAAAACATCAGGCAGCTACCTCATCCAGGATCACATGGGTAAACTGTAGCATGTTCTTGGTGTTGATCAGTTTCTGCAGTAGCACACCTGTTGTGACATAGGTAAGTCTTGTGTCCTCAGATGTCATTTTGTCCATACCAACCTAACAAAAAAATGTGGAATCTGAAGTTTTTATGGTACCTTACTTTACCACATATTCACATTTACATTCCAAATAATTTTCATACAAACGTAAAAATGCACAGTTATTGTTTCCCTTTCTCGTAGTCTTTTGACTACAAAGACCTGTATATGAAAGAGGCCAAATAGGCCTAAAATACATTGCTCATCTACTCTACAGCTTACAAAGAAGACATTGTTGGTTCATAAAAACATTTTCTGCAAACCTGAAATCATATTCTTCTATACAAATACAATAATAAATAATGGGTGATCCAACACTCCTAATGTAGAACTTTGCGGTAGTATCTTCGGTCGGATCCTAGGGATTCAATAGAGTTCCTTACCAATAAAACATAATCAAAATCGGCAATTTCACTAAAGTCTTCGTGTTGTTGAGTTTCCTTTTTTATTTTGATTATACAAATAAAATTACTCAAAACCTATTGCTTGTCGAAAAAGAAATTTTCAGATCTCAACTCACGTCAAGGTTAATAATATCAACAAACTTGGCAACCCTTCATCCCATCATGCTACAGACCCAATATCAGCACCCTGGTCCTTTTGTTTATTGAGAAGAAGTCATTTGACAGTTTACGCATGGCGGACAGAACATGATGACGGACGAAACCCTTCGAGTCAGATGACCTAATAATGCACTTTATCAATTATTTGTTAACTCTTCCATATTGCATACAAAATTTTCTACCAAAATAGGTGAGTGTTGTCGAACTCCCAAGACCCAGCCTGTAAACAGCACCTGAGTATAAGCCCCTGGGTCAGTTTTCAGCGATTTTCATGATTTCATCCACAAACAAGCTGCACCCTTTCTTATGATATGATGACCACTGTTGTTGATGTTTGATATACCAGTAACAGATAACAGGAGGCAGTTTACCAAGATCACCTGTGTAACATTTAATAAAGTTTACTGATAAATTTTGAACAAATAATCCTTTATTTTGTGCATGTATTTTTAAATAATGTTGGTCATTTAATACACATATAATATTTAACTTGTCTGGAGCCTTCAATGATTGCCAATGCACAGGTAGGGCCTGACCTACATAAATGTTACAACCTCTCCACCAGTGTCTGTACTGTTGAATATTAAGAAAGGCTATTGCATGATGACAAAGTTACTATAATCCTGTAATACATTTTAGTAAGCTGCATCAAAGACACAGAAATCGTAAAAAAAAAAAAAAAAAAAATGGATGTTCTAGAATTCGACCTCTTCATCCCATGATGCAAAGCATATTGGTGTGTAATCGAGCATGGTGGGGCCCACAGAGGGTTCTTCTAAATTTTTTCATTAATCGGTAAATATTTACGTAAATATGTACATCTTTGCAAAATAATCCACAACTATTTTCAGAGCCATTCACAGCTTCCTCTCAGTTCTCAAAAAAATATACTGTAGGGAAGAAACCATGTAAGTCAAGAATAAATTTCTGTTTCATATCAACAGGTATGATTTATGAAATCCACAGGAATGTAATTTGATTGCAATCTTCAAATCATTTAGTATACGATTGCAATTGGTTCTACACAATTTATTTCAGTCACAAACATGTGGTACTCATAAAAACCGATTAAGATGTCTTGTACTGGTACTACATTTTTTCCCCATCCTGCCTTTTGTTTTTGGTTTTGTCCACGTATCAGCTGCAAACCTGACTCACTAGGAAAAAAGCTGCGGCTTATAGGCTGGAAAATACTGTAGTTACCGGTACCATATGACAACCACTTCTTGTGCAACATCTATATTTCAAATTTATTGCAACCATTTATTTTTGTTTTAAATGCTCAAATCTTATTGATCAAATGTGTTCAAATTTTCTATTGCTTTGCAAAATTCATACCACCATAAAAAAGCCATGTTTGAAACTACCAATCGTCAGCATCATCAAAAGATCGACCTAAAGCGGACTGATTTTCACGGAAACGGATTTATATGTACTGGTATTTAACAACAGCTTTTATTATAGCAGTATTACCTCAATAAATTTCAAACCAACTGGTTTATAACCAGACTATTACCTGGTATCCACACACAGTGCCTAGCTGCCAGTTGCGTTCACTACACACTCGACGAGCGATACTGATGGCAGCGATTCTCCTGGGTTGGGTAACAATGATGTTACAGTACTTGTTCATGGAAGCGTGATGGTCCAGTATGTACTGTGGCACCTGTGTTGTCTTCCCAGACCCTGTTGATCCCTGCACCACTGTCACTTGGTTACATTCAATAGTGGAGATCACCTTAAAACATACAAAATTATATGCTATCTCAAGAAATTATACCGATATGACAAATATAGCTCAAATTCATAAACTTTGTCACACTTCTGTACAATGTAACAATATCTCCTATTTCAATGACAAACTTATGCAGTAAATAAGCACTTCAAATAAAACCAGTACTCCAACATTTCAATGTTTTCATGTACATACAAACAATAGATTTATGGATGGTACTACCTGTTGCTGATGTCTGGTGATAGGCAACTTTTTGTCATAACTATGCTGAAACTGGTAGTTCTGGTACACGTCCATAGCATTAGATGGAACAAGGTCATCCGGCATAGCAACGGCACTTGTACAGATGCTGTCAAGGTCAATCTCTGACATCCGCTCAGTCACATCTTGGACTCCATGTTGCTGATTTAAGGAATTCATATTTAAAACAATTACATTTTGTAAAAGGGGCAAAACTCTGAAGAAAATTAGGACAACATGCCATTAATTTCAGGTTGAGAAGATATTTCTTTTTTTCCTCCAATTTTGGAAAACAAACTTTTTAAGGATGTGAAACTGTCGGTTTCGCTGTAAAAAATTTCTTCTACAGCTGGATAAATGACCAAAGTAAAGTAAACCAAATATTTGATCAGAAGTGGGAATGCTTTTTTAAAATGACAACTGTGTGACAGTAAGTCACAAACTTTCAGTATACATCTTTATCTAAATGAAAATATTACAACTTTATGCAGTTTGGCCTAGAGATAAATAACATTGAAATCTAGATAACAAGACATAGCCATTTACAGGTCAAAGACAAAACAAGTTGCTCTCCAAACTGGATATGGAACCTACGATCCAAGTCAATCACACAGTTCCAGCTCTATCAGTACAACACAGTTAAAACATCACATTGATCTCCCAGCCAACTTAAACCTTCGATGATTTAATGTATCAGTACAACACAGTTAAAACCTCACATTGATCTCCCAGCTGACTGAAACCTTCGATGATTTAATGTATCAGTACAACACAGTTAATACCTCACATTGATCTCCCAGCTGACTGAAACCTTCGATGATTTAATGTATCAGTACAACACAGTTAAAACATCACATTGATCTCCCAGCCAACTTAAACCTTCGATGATTTAATGTATCAGTACAACACAGTTAAAACCTCACATTGATCTCCCAGCTGACTGAAACATTCGATGATTTAATGTATCAGTACAACACAGTTAAAACATCACATTGATCTCCCAGCTGACTGAAACCTTCGATGATTTAATGTATCAGTACAACACAGTTAATACCTCACATTGATCTCCCAGCTGACTGAAACATTCGATGATTTAATGTATCAGTACAACACAGTTAAAACATCACATTGATCTCCCAGCTGACTGAAACCTTCGATGATTTAATGTATCAGTACAACACAGTTAAAACCTCACATTGATCTCCCAGCCAACTTAAACCTTCAATGATTTAATGTATCAGTACAACACAGTTAAAACATCACATTGATCTCCCAGCCAACTTAAACATTCGATGATTTAATGTATCAGTACAACACAGTTAAAACCTCACATTGATCTCCCAGCCAACTTAAACCTTCAATGATTTAATGTATCAGTACAACACAGTTAAAACCTCACATTGATCTCCCAGCTGACTGAAACCTTCGATGATTTAATGTATCAGTACAACACAGTTAAAACCTCACATTGATCTCCCAGCCAACTTAAACCTTCAATGATTTAATGTATCAGTACAACACAGTTAAAACCTCACATTGATCTCCCAGCTGACTGAAACCTTCGATGATTTAATGTATCAGTACAACTCAGTTAAAACATCACATTGATCTCCCAGCTAACTGAAACCTTCGATGATTTAATGTATCAGTACAACACAATTAAAACCTCACATTGATCTCCCAGCTGACTGAAACACTTGATGGTTTAAAACCTATGATCTATGGTAACCACATGTTCTAGCTGTATCACAGTGTTAAAAAATTGCATCAATCTCCTCACTGACAGGAACATTTGATGGTTTGGAACCTCTGGTCTATGTCAATCATATTGTTTTAGCTGTATCAGTAAAACACATTTAAAACATTATGTTGATGGTTTAGAAAGCAAAGGATTTTTATCAGATTGATTTTGACAATATAAATGCACATGTCTAGGGTAAAACCAACTCAGTGATTATCAAATATTGCTGACATTGACAAGATTTCATAAATCTAACAGAAAACAAGACCAAATAAAAACAAACCTGGGACTGATTGGTCTCAAAAAGGTCTTGCTCTTCCTCTTCTAAATATGAAGCAGCATAATCTCTCTGGGTTTCATCTCGCGGACCTCTGGAAAAAACCATGTGTTTTGTTAATATAAACCACATGGACATTCAGGCATCCCAGTTCTACAAAAAAAATCTGCTTTCTACAGATTTCTCAGTACCAGGACATATCTACAGAAGGATTTTTTTTTTATCTACGATCTGATTGTACAAATATAGGATTTCTATTTATGGATTTTTTTTCTCTCTACAACCTAAATCTACAAATGTGACACTGTTTATTAGCATCGCATGGATAATGGCAATACCTTGACTCCATGTTAAACACAGCACTCTGTACAAAGGCCAAGGCAGATGTTTACAAATGGACTGGTAGCCATGTTGTACCGACATGTGTGTGTAGCATGAGCACAACACACCGGTGACAAAAAAAGGGGGAAAATATCAAAATAGAGCAAAGGTCTGCCAAATTCTGACACCAAATGTAGGGAATTCCTGTGTGTGTGTTCACATGTGATCCTCTAAGGTTGCTTCCAGCTCCTAACTAATTAAAGGGTACAGCAAAGTTTACTAAGGTTTTGGAGACATGTCTGTTCAATTGGATAGTCAAAAGTTTAGAGTGCGCTGTTGTGTCATGTCAGAGAATTTCATTATCTTACAAATCATATTATGGCAGTCTTTCTTAAGAGCAACAAGTGACAGTAATTGAAAAGTTTTGTAAAACATCTTCATCTTTGAGATGATAGAGTATGTTTACTATAAAACACCTGTGCCTCCAATAAACCAAAGAAAATGTTCTTCTCCATAACTCAATGTTACATATATTAACATGAAACTTTATAGATAGGTGTATTACATCTTTTTATGTCACTAACTTCATTAAGATATCTAATTTGCAGAATTCACTCTGGCTGCACAACATAAATATGTACTGCCGGCAGTAAGGGAAATAACTCTCCATTCTAAATTTTTGATTTTATAAATATCAACATGAAACTTTGGTATATTGGTGTATATGACCATATTTGTAACATATCGTTTGATTTTTCTAAATTGACCGAAGACATTTTCTGAAAACGCTTTACGACGCTTGTCATTATTTACGCCGTTCAGATAAGCCTCGTTATGGGGTCGGGATGTAAACACAAAACAAACCACAAACTGACAGGATGTCCTGTAGTATAGCTATATGCATAATCATTAAATCTTGTCATGTATTATCATCGTATAGAATTTGATCAGTCTTAATTAAATTACTCAGTGTTAAATTAAATATACAGGCACCTGTTGTAAGAAGGGATGTAGGGTTCTTCGTTCACCACACGTGGTTTTTGTGTGACAATATCGAAGTCAGATGTTCCTCCCGTTTTACTTTTGGAAAACGTGTGTACATCCTTGTAAGCTTTTTTACCGATTTTAAACCACTCGTCTGCTGTGTCGAGCGATATTTCGGTGAGAAGGCGATTCATGGCAGATTTCACTGTCTCATACAAATTCCGTCCAAATGAAAACATTAAAACGTCGCCATTTTTTTTCTCTCTTCCTTTCGGAAGTCAGCGGGTCTTTCTTGTCGTCCCTTTACGTTTTGAATGTCTCTGACGGTAACCTCATCTGCTATAAAACGAAAACGAAAGTATTTCAAAGGGGAATTTTAGCATACGTAATCCGATTTTTTGGGTCATCTTTTATCTGTTCTCCTTTTCAACCAAAAATATGCTTTTGATGCTCAACTTCGATAGTAATGATTTGTACATTAATACTGACTTAAAAAGGGCGCGAAATTCAGTAGCGAGAACTCCCGGTGTGAGATGGTTGATGTTTATGTTGGGCTAGACAGTATGTAACTAATCTAGACTGTTTCGTGTTACGCAGAGACAAAAAACTGTGTATATGAATTATTCTATGGTAACACTCTTTCTTTATCAAGTTAAGTTAAGTTTACAGTATCTTATAAGATCCTCTTCATTGGGCTCAAAAACATGACATAAAAATTAAAATGAAAATGGATGCGACGTTACATGTTAATGTATCTGAGATCTATAATTATAGAGGAGTTCCTGATTTTGCCAATATTTATCCAGTCTGTTTTAAATATATTTACAGTCGGCAATAATACCACATTTTCCGGAAGGCTTATTCCCTGCCTTTGCGAATGGTCTTTCCACATCTTAATAAAATCCGTTGCACATTCATCGTAAACATTATTTAGGCTTTTAAACACCTCTATCATATCCCTTCGTTGTCTCTGATAGCTGGTAATTTGCGTCTCCTCAGGCGATAAGGGTATGGTAAGTACGGAAAACTAGCTATCTGTTTCGTAGCTCTCCTCTTTGCGTCGCGACGATTTACCCAAATATACCAAAATATACCTAAATACACCCAATATACCCAAATCTTTCCCAAATATACCCAGATATACCTAAATACACCCAATATACCCAAATCTTTCCCAAATATACCCAGATATACCTAAATACACCCAATATACCCAAATCTTTCCGAAATATACCCAAATATACCTAAATACACCCAATATACCCAAATCTTTCCCAAATATACCCAAATATACCTAAATACACCCAATATACCAAAATCTTTCCTAAATACACCCAAATATACCTAAAACACCTAAATACAGAAGACGGTTAAAGATACCATATAGTGGGACATGACAGAACACGGTGAGGATACCATGTAGTGGGACATGACAGAACACGGTGGAGGATACAATGTAGTGGGACATGACAGAACACGATGAGGATACAATGTAGTGGGACATGACAGAACACGATGGAGGATATAATTTAGTGGGACATGACAGAACACGGTGGAGGATACCATGTAGTGGGACTTGACAGAACACGGTGGAGGATATAATTTAGTGGGACATGACAGAACACGAAGGAAGATATAATGTAGTGGGACATGACAGAACACGGTGAAGGATACAATGCAGTGGGACATGACAGAACACGGTGGAGGATACAATGTAGTGGGACATGACAGAACACGATGAGGATACAATGTAGTGGGACATGACAGAACACGATGGAGGATATAATTTAGTGGGACATGACAGAACACGGTGGAGGATATAATGTAGTGGGACATGACAGAACACGGTGGAGGATATAATGTAGTGGGACATGACAGAACACGGTGGAGGATATAATATTGTGGGAAATGGCAGAACACGAAGGAAGATATAATGTTGTGGGACATGACAGAACACGGTGGAAGATATAATGTAGTGGGACATGACAGAACACGGTGGAGGATACAATGCAGTGGGACATGACAGAACACGATGGGACATGACAGAACACGGCGAGGATATAATGTTGTGGGACATGACAGAACACGGTGGAGGATATAATCTAGTGGGACATGACAGAACACGGTGGAGGATATAATGTTGTGGGAAATGGCAGAACACGAAGGAGGATATAATTTAGTGGGACATGACAGAACACGGTGTGTTATATAATGTAGTGGGACATGACAGAACACGGTGGGGGATACAATGCAGTGGGACATGACAGAACGCGGTGGAGGATATAATGTAGTGGGACATGACAGAACACGGTGAGGATATAATGTTGTGGGACATGACAGAACACGAAGGAAGATATAATTTAGTGGGACATGACAGAACACGAAAGAAGATATAATTTAGTGGGACATGACAGATCAATGGAGGATATAATGTAGTGGGACATGACAGAACACGGCGAGGATATAATGTAGTGGGACATGACAGAACACGGTGGAGGATATAATGTTGTGGGACATGACAGAACACGGTGGAGGATATAATGTAGTGGGACATGACAGAACACGGTGGAGGATATAATGTTGTTGGACATGACAGAACACGAAGGAAGATATAATTTAGTGGGACATGACAGAACACGGCGAGGATATAATGTTGTGGGACATGACAGAACACGGTGGAGGATATAATCTAGTGGGACATGACAGAACACGGTGGAGGATATAATGTTGTGGGAAATGGCAGAACACGAAGGAGGATATAATTTAGTGGGACATAACAGAACACGGTGTGTTATATAATGTAGTGGGACATGACAGAACACGGTGGGGGATACAATGCAGTGGGACATGACAGAACACGGTGGAGGATATAATGTAGTGGGACATGACAGAACACGGTGAGGATATAATGTTGTGGGACATGACAGAACACGAAGGAAGATATAATTTAGTGGGACATGACAGAACACGAAAGAAGATATAATTTAGTGGGACATGACAGATCAAGGTGGAGGATATAATGTTGTGGGACATGACAGAACACGGCGAGGATATAATGTAGTGGGACATGACAGAACACGGTGGAGGATATAATGTAGTGGGACATGACAGAACACGGTGGAGGATATAATGTTGTTGGACATGACAGAACACGAAGGAAGATATAATTTAGTGGGACATGACAGAACACGGTGGAAGATATAATGTAGTGGGACATGACAGAACACGGTGGAGGATACAATGCAGTGGGACATGACAGAACACGGTGGAGGATACAATGCAGTGGGACATGACAGAACACGGTGGAGGATACAATGCAGTGGGACATGACAGAACACGATGGAGGATATAATGTAGTGGGACATGACAGAACACGAAAAGAAGATATAATTTAGTGGGACATGACAGAACACGGTGGAGGATATAATGTAGTGGGACATGACAGAACACGGTGGAGGATACAATGTAGTGGGACATGACAGAACACGATGGAGGATATAATTTAGTGGGACATGACAGAACACGAAGGAGGATATAATGTAGTGGGACATGACAGAACACGATGGAGGATATAATTTAGTGGGACATGACAGAACACGGTGGAGGATATAATGTTGTGGGACATGACAGAACACGATGGAGGATACCATATAGTGGGACATGACAGAACACGAAGGACTATATAATTTAGTTGGACATAACAGAATACGAAGGAAGATATAATTTAGTGGGACATGGCAGAACACGAATGAAGATATAATGTAGTGGGATATGACAGAACACGATGGAGGATATAATTTAGTGGGACATGACAGAACACGAAGGAAGATATAATGTAGTGGGAAATGACAGAACACGATGGAGGATACCATATAGTGGGACATGACAGAACACGAAGGAATATATAATTTAGTGGGACATAACAGAACACGAAGGAGGATATAATGTAGTGGGACATGACAGAACACGGTGGATGATATAATGTTGTGGGACATGACAGAACACGATGGAGGATACCATATAGTGGGACATGACAGAACACGATGAGGATATAATGTGGGACATGACAGAACACGGTGTAGAATTTAATGTAGTGGGACATGACAGAACACCACGTAGGACACATTTTAGTGGGACATGACAGAATACGGAACACTGTGAACCCTAGTAAAGTTCTGGCCATCTATACACGTGATATGATACGTGGTCAGACAAACGCCGTGTTGGAAGAACCACGATGTAATTCTAGGAAATTAGTCTGAAGCTCACTGGCCTAGTTTACAGTATAGAATTCTTCTGTAAATGAATAAATTGACTATGTTTTTTTAAGTTGTTGTTGAGAAATATTCTCATAGCTCCCGAATCTTCAGTCCCGTATTTTCTTTGTCAACCGAAACTTGCACTTCAGTTTAAATCGTGTGCCAATAGCAGTCTACATGGAATTAAACAGGTCCATTGTAAAATGTGTCGTGTTCATGGGCATGTCAGGTCGGAAGATAATGTATTATCTACATTGGGCCTGGAAGTTTACAGAAACTGGTTAGCATTCCCTACTTATCCGTTCTATCTATAGGACCTAGAATGTCCCCGATAGTGTACTACAGTAGTCATGTGTAGCCATCCGGAATCTTTAACGTAATACACAAACTTACACGAATAATGTTTATACTGAAACTGACAACAGCTGGTCACTGTCGGAGATTTTCTACTGGATAGGATTACTTGAAGTGTTTGTGCAACAGGATAATAGCTTTTACCGGAACAGAATATCTACCTGTGAGAGAGTCGCGTGGATAACATGCATGTCGAACTAGGTAAGTGGCTAGACACCGAGGGGGGGAGCTTTCCCTTAAAAACGCAGGATGAAGATATTACTTTAAAAAACCGAGGGGCGAGGGAGCTGAACCTAACTATTAAGTGGCTAAGAAGCTATCCCTAATAACCGAAGGGTAAGGAAACTTTCTCTTAATATCGAGGGGCGAGGATATCATCCCCAACATCAATATCATATCGAGGGGTGAACGAGAACACAATAGGCCGCATTACACAGGTCGTTCGGAAAAAAACCCATGTTGCATTGATCGTTACAGACAGCTAATCGTGCAAGCAAAGGACAGTTATAGTACATTAAACTAGATACTAGTAGTTACACAATATTGATGTGATGGTGGTCGTTATTACGATCTTATACATA